CATAATCTGTCTACATATTTGTGCCTCTATCTCACATTCGTTGTTTGGAGGTCTGTAGTACAGTCCCAACATTGTTACCGCACCCTTCCTATTTCTGAGCGCTGCCCATATTGCCTCACTGCTCGAGTTCTCCATAGTGCCCTCCTTCAGCACAGCTGTGATATCCTCTTTGACCAGTAATGCAACTCCTCCACCCTGGGCCGAAGGGCCTGTACTGCGCTGTACTGTTCTATGTTCCATGTATCCCGCCTGAAGCATCTATATCCTGGGATATTTAGTTGCCAATCTTGCCCTTCCCGCAACCAAGTCTCAGTAATAGCAATAACATCATACTCCCAGGTACTAATCCAAGCCCTAAGTTCATCTGCCTTACCTACTACACTTCCCGCATTAAAACAAATGCGCCTCAGACCACCTGTCACTCTGCGTTCATCATCTGTTATAGTTACAATCAATAAAAATAATTAAATCAATCATCTTAGGAAAATGGAGCTTTCAGTTAAGAATTAATATATAATCATTGTACAATTTTTAAATCAATCAATCAGTCTCTCTCTCTCACACAATACAATGCAGTTTCAGCTGATCATATAAACAAGAAAATATTTTGCAACCTTAGTGAGCTCCATGAGACAGTACACCATGGCCTTGCAAAGACTCTAGCTTAATGAATGAAAAGGTGCTCAAAAACTGATTGGTGAGTATTAACCCTAATGTATTGTTTGAAATGCTGAGGTCTGACAGTCTTACAGAATACAAGTGAAAATCAACTAATTTTATCTAGCAACAGCTAGAACCAATCAAAAATAGCTGGACTGTTACATGGTACGGTGATCATACATAAGTTACATATTGTAATTTCGTAAGGTTTTGTTGCTAGCCATCAAATTTGAAGATCTGCATTGTATGACCATGTGGTAATCTCAACTAGTCAGTTTCAAACCAAACTGGAAGCCTGAGCGTGTGATTCATGCAACCTGCATTTCAACAAACTGCACAGCTAGTTGAATTTATACAAGTTATTGGCCTATGTTTCTTTGATAAACTTAAAATATGCTATCCAAAGACTGTCCAGTTAAGTATCACCTGAGCAAAAATAATCTCACCTACAAACAGTACTAGTCATCTAAAATTATCAACAAGCACTGGATTAGGTATTAAAGATGTATTTTTCTGACTAATTTCAGCTGCATTAATGAGCTTCAACAGGTCACTACCTAAATATATCATGGCTATTTTCTTAAATAAAAGATCTTTAAATTGAAAGTATGTCTTAAAACACTACCCAGTTGCGCTAGTCCATGGTCAATTTTATGTTTGGCGATATGGAAATAAATACAAGCAGGACTGAAGAAAACAATTTGTGCCAGATCACCTATTGCACCTGAAGCAGAAACTTTACAACCTCATTTTTATATCACAGGAAACATTTCAAAATATATTGCCGCAGATCAGACAGTGTAACCTGAGCCCAAGTGATTGTATTTTCTCTTCAGTAGTTTCCAGCATAAGCCAAGGACCAATTTTACTTAAAAGTACTAAGGAGTGCTATTGTCTATTTATAGTGCCATAATGAAAAATTGGCAATTCGCAATCTGATGCTGAGAAGTAATTTTATTTACAGAGGATCAATGACTCTCATCTAAGATGAATATCAAAAGTTGTGCACAGATAAAGAACAGTGTTTAGAGAGGTTGTATGGTCACAAATGACCCAATTCAACTTCATTCTATCTCACGTACTACCTAATCCTCCACTTCAACTCACAAAGTTCTTTAACCAACATCCTTCTCCTCACCACTGCCTACACATTCCCTCGGTATCAACTTGCCTGCTGCCAACTGTTGACATCCAAATCTGATCTGTACCACTTTTTCTCCTCCATCCCATTTCAAACCATGACTCCAATTATGATCAAAAATATTAACAAAGGAAAACAGAAAAGAAAAGTAGAAAATATGAGAAATAAAAATCACAAAAAGTCACAAAACCAGGAACAAAACAATCAAAATGGAGAGACGGCATTGAGCAATACCACAACCGTTCTGATGTGTGTAGTTTTCAAAAATCTCACTGATAAAGTATACCCACAGGTTTCCCCTCATGTTGAATGAAAATGTCATTCATGTCTGAACAGATCAAATGTTGTAAGTTTCTTGACAGTTTTACTAATGCTCAAGTTTCTGCCAACATAAAGAGATAGCTAATAAAGTACAAGTACTTTATGGTAACAACTGTTTCTCTACTGTACTGTTTGCCAGCCTCAATTTTATCTGTACATGTAATACAGCTGCAGCAGGTTTGTGCAGCAGGAAACAAACCTAAATATTGTATGAAACAATTTCACATTCATAGCACTTTGAGAATTTTGCTTAATTGCTTATCTACCTGCCATGCCAGCAACTGGTCTGGATCAAGTTCTGTGGCTTTTTTGTACGCAGTCTTCGCCTGGTCAGGTTGTTCCAATTCTGTTGCAGCAACTCCAATAAAAACCCAGGCATTGTAGTTATTCTTGTCTTGTTTCAACACAGCCTGTACGGTAAGAATATAAATGTAAGAAATAACTGTTCAGGGTAGATCTAGATTGTTCTTTCTATAAATCTGATTCCAATTTTAAAGTATATAAAACAATATAATCCAACTAGTTATCTGAAATCTGGTGAATAGCTTTTTCCCTTTAAGGTTGAGGTTTGAATCCAGGCTAGGCAAAATCAGATAAGATGTACGATTTCAGTCTCTCACTGACTTTACAAATCATTGCTAACATGTATAATCACAACACATTTCAAAGGATGTGTGGGGTCGCAGTATAAATTACTAGTCTTATTTAGACTGTAAGGGTAAGAAATCAAAACTATTCAAACTTAGCACGCAATTTTTTTTCAGGCTGAGGTAAGGCAAGTCAGGCAACCTTTCCTTTGTATTCTGCAATTGCTCAAACAGCTGATGGCCAATACTGGATTTCCAAAGACATGTAAATTTCACTATCATAAATGATCAAAACAATGCACCAAGACAGTTATGAGGGAAATTTTATCTTAATTTCAGTAAAGCACCTTCAGGATAGAAAAAAGCTAGCTTCACCAACAACGGGTCACCACAATTGGTATAACGTCATTTCAGAGTCCCTCTTTCAGCAATTATTCAGTGACTTTACTAGAAAGTGCATTTACACAGATCATATCAAATATGCATCTTGTATGTGTCAAGTAGACAGCACTACATCTGAAAAAAAAAGTTTACATCACCTCCAGCTCAAAATCAGTAAATCCAAGCAAAGTTTATATGGTTCCTCCAAATATGTAAATGCCTCTGGTCTTAAAACTCTTGTCCCTCCCAAACATCCACCTTGGATAATTCGAGAAGGGTGAAGCTTTGATCCAACTCTTTGGTCCCAGCCATGGTAATATAGCTTGGGTATTGTTTATGCACATGCCTGTAAACCAAAAAGACCTAAAACCTGACACAAATGGATCTGTAGATACATGGAGTTCAGTCCCTTTCAAAAATTGTATTGAACCTGGACATACCCAAACAGACCTGTGGACACACTAAGCCAAACGAATCTGTAGACCCGCCAAGTTCAGACCCGTTCTAACTCCATTTGGGTCAAGTCATTTCCCAGAGGGTCCAAACATACCCATGATAGACCTAAGTGTATGCTGTATATACAAGTCTTTTGGTGATTGTTTTGTGTCTGATTTTTCTCCACTGCAGTTATTTAAACACTCCTACGAAGACAACATGATCAAATTATCTCCGAGTGCAGCCATCACAGGAGGTATTCTCCATCGAAAAAGAAGCTGATCCTGAGGTTTTCGAACAAAGGATACCCACTGTACTGGACAATTCAGATCCCAGAATGAAACTTGGACCGATGGTTCATACATTTAATTTGTACAGATGGTTAACATGGCAATTATTCACTGAAATATATTCACATGAGACTGCAGATATTCTTACAAATGAAACAAATTTATTAAACTAAATAAATATGACATACATATGTTGAAAATGTCCTAACACAGAACATCACAACAGAGTTTCCCAAGATTATCCTTTTACAGATATTCTATTCTAGAGAAAAATCACTCCTACTTCAACTTTTGAATCATTTTTCTTGAATGGAATCTTTCCAGTTTCTTTCCCTTGGACTGCTAGACAGTTTTGTTTACAATTCCTTTCCAAGTATGCTGACGTTAACCCTTCAGTGCTCTGATGGCTAAAACTCTCAGTTCTGACAACCTGAAGTCTGCTATACATGCATCCTATCTCAGAAGCTCCACAGATGAGAAACCACTTCTGCTGCAGTGGTTGATTTCCCTGAACTGACTTGAATCTTCTGCTCACAGTTCAAAACAAGCTGTTCAGTTTAGTCTAGAGTATAAACCTTAGAATAAACTCAGCATTATAAATATTTAATCCTTTAAAACCGCATGGGTCAACTTTGCAGTTTGCTCAAGTCACATGCCTTCTTAGAAAAGTAGTATTTGGGCCACTGTCAAAATGATTCTGATTTTTAAAAGAGAAAAACTTTCAAAGCACTAACCAAAATTATCTGTCTTTTTTTTTAAAATCCAAATTCAAAAAAGATCAAAAGTGATAATATAGCATTGGTTTTTATCATATAGCAATCTAACCTGCATTTGGCTTCTGCCCTCATGTATAACACAACAACCAGGTTATTTTACCTCTGAAACATAGCTCATCACTGATATTCTCCCTTCATTCTTGACACTTCATTCTTTGAATTCGCTGCACATTTTCCTTACTGGTTTCCCTGCTCGCGCAATTTAATAAAGTGTCAGTTTGGACAGTGTGCAAGGAGGAGTTTATAAGGGGATTAGACTTTTAATTAGTGTCATGTGGCCCATGAGTTATAACTGTTTAGTTGTAGCTAGAGTCTAATTATTTGTAATAAATACTTATTCAGTACAGAAAATCAAGAGCAACAAATCCCCCATCTAAACTAATTCGCAATCCTCAACACCATGGGCTCTTATTTTATTGAGTAGCCTAATGTACAGTACCTTAGCAAATGCTACTCGAAATCCAAATATAAAACATATTTGGGGGCTCTTGCGGCACAATGTAAAGTCCCTACCTTTGAGCCAGAAGGACTATGTTCAAGTCCTATCTGCTCGAGAGCTATGTAATAACATCTCTGAACAGGTCGATCAAAACCACCTATCTGCTTTATCTATTCCACTTGTTGCTTCTTCAAAAACTTCTAATAAATTTGTCAGGGCACTTAGCGTGAATGGAGGATTGATTAACACACATGAAGCAGTGAGGAGGAATAAATGGGGCTTTTTCAACTTGACAGGCTGTAATTAGTGGAGTGCCACAACGATCAGTGCTGGGTCCTCAACTACTTATGATCTATATTGATGAATTACATGAAGTGACAAAATAACGACAGACAGGCTGCGAAGAGATATACACATGTAAACGTATGAATAATAAGGTGACAAAAGGAATACAATGTAGGAAATATGAAGTATTTCATGTTGGTATTAAGGACAATAAAGCATAATATTTTATTAGAAGGGGTGAAATTTGTAAATGCTGATGATCAGAGAAACTTGGAACATTTGATTCAAGTAACGGAAATTCAGCATGCAGGTACACCAAAAAAAAAGGAGGGGATTGAAGTACAGGAATGAAGAAGTCCTGCTATAATTATACAAGCTTTTGATCAGACTACACCCGAGTACTACATACAGTTTGGGTCCCGATATTTAGGGGGGAATATACTTACATTGGAAGGAATACAGCGATAATTCACTAGTTCTTGGGACACGGGGTTTACCCTCCAAAGAAAGCCAGCATAAGTTTTGTCTATTTTATCTGAGGTTCAGAGGAATGAGAGGCAATCTCATTGAAAAATACAAGATTCTAAAGGTGCTGACAGGTTAGGTTGATTCCCCTATTGTGGGATCTAGAACATGGGAACAACCTCAGGACAAGGGTAAGGTCATTTATGAACGAGAGGAGGAGAAGTTTCTTCAATCAAATGGTTAGGAATCTTTGGAATTCTTTACCCTAGTGGTTTTGGATCCATTATTGAGTATATTTAAGGTCGAGAAATACATATTTTTAATCTTTCAAGGAATGACAGGATTTGAGAAGAGTGCAGGAAAAGAGAGAATTGAGCCTGAAGATTAGTCATGATAATACTGAGTGATCTTTCCTGCCTCTACTTGTTATGTTATTTTCTTAGACTGAGCGCCAAAGCCTGAATACCCAGATATTCGCAAAATGCACATGAATGTCTTGGATAAGGGAACCAAATATAATATTTCCAAGTTTGCTGATGACACTAATCTAAGTGGGATTGTGAAGTGTGAGGAGGATGAAAGGAGGTTTCAATGTGACCTCATTGAGAGTGCAGGTAAACACACTGCATTTACAGTACAATGATGCACTATAAATGTGAAGTTATACACTTTGGTATGGAAAACAAAAAGGCAGAGTATTATTCAAGTGATGATATATTGAAATTTGTGAATCTAAATGTCCTTGTACACTAGTCAATGAAAATAGACAGGCAGGTGTAACCAGCAATTAGGAAGACAAATGGCATATTGGCCTTGATTGCAAGACAATGAGTGTTCAGAAGTAGGACTGACTTACTGAAGTTATACAGGAACTTGATGAAACCACACCTGGAATATGGTGTACAGATTTGCTCTAAAAGAGGATGCATTTGCCATTAAGGCACACAGCAAAAGGTCGCTAGGCTTACACGGAGGATGTCAGAACTGTTGACTGAGAAGTTGGGCTCGACTCGGCCTGGATTCACCAGAGTTTAGGAGAATGAAAGGGTATGTGATTGAAACATAAAATTCTAATAAGGAAGGACAGACTGGGTACAAGAAGGATGTGTCCCCTGACTGGGGAATCCAGAACCAGAGGATATGGTCTTAGGATACAGTACAGGCAATTAGGACTGGAGCGATGAAACATTTCTTCACTCAGAGTGGTCAGACATGCAGAATTCAATAGCACAAAAGGCGATGGAGGGAAGGTCACTAAGTATATTCAAGATTCTTATTCTCAGTCTGTCTATTTTCTTAATGATCAAAGGCTGGGTAAGATTGGTAAAGAGACGGGCATGTTCAAGTCCACAGATTACTTAGAAGCTAAATATTAGTGAACAAATAATTAAAAGGTTGAGACAATGTAGGCCTCTGTTTCAGTAGAGTAGAAATTATAAAAATGTTTCCTATGAACTGAAGGAGGAGGCCATACTACCCTTCAAGGCTGCTTCACCATTCAATAAGATCATGGCTAACCCATTTCAGCTCCATGCCCTCTCCCTACCTTCTTATGCATGGTCAGGAAGGAGATCACATCCGGACTAAGACACAGCGCCCAAGTGAGTTTATAGTTCAGGGAATGTGGAGGCAGTACGGGAATTTAATGCAGAGGGCAAGAGGTGCTATTTCGGCTCAGAGTTTGTAAGTTTTTTTGTCATAGGATAAATTGAAGTTCAGGACCAGGGGTTCATTTGACTATCTATTATAGATTATTTTCAGATTGAAGGTAAATAAGTGACATATTTACAGGATACAAACTAAAAATCCAAAGGTAAATTTTAACAATCAAATTAAGAACTGAGTAAATAAAATTGAGATGCAGGGCCAGGCGATGTGTTGTACCTGCATGACGTGAGAGCTAGTGGGCACCATTGTGGTTCATAGTGACCACATCTGGTGGATTCTGGCTCAGATTTGATGTGCTGGAGACTGAGCTTTAAACACTGCGATATATCAGGGAAGCAGAGGTGGTCAAAGCAGGACTTAGAGTGTTGTAACTTAAATGAGCACAGTACAAAAATAAGCTAAATGAGCTTGTAGCACAGATTGAAATTGACAGGTATGATGTGGTGGGCATCACAGAAATAGCTGCAGGGAATCAAGGCTAGGAACTAAATATTCAAGGATAGGCAACATCAGAGGAGCAGGAAAGCTGACATTTCAGGTCTGGACCCTTCTTCCTTTCTGAAGAAGGGTCCAGACCAGAAACGTCAGCTTTCCTGCTCCTCTGATGCTGCCTGGCCTGCTGTGTTCATCCAGCTCTACACCTTGTTATCTTAGATTCTCCAGCATCGGCAGTTCCTACTAGCTCCAAATATTCAAGGTTATGCCTCTTATCGAAAGGACAGGCAGATGGGCAATGGGGGCAGGGTTGCTTTGTTAGTAAGAACTGAACTTAAATCTACAGCAAGAAGCAATGAAAGTGTAGAATCTGTTTGGCTAGAGTTGCGAACGCAAAGAAAATAAGGAACCTGATGGGAGTTATATACAGGCCTCCCAGCAGTAGTCATGATGCAAAGAAGAAAATAAATCAGGAGATAGAAAAGGCATGCAAGAAAGGCACTATTACAATAATCATGCGGGACTTTAATATGCAGGTGGATTTGGAAAATCAGGTAGCAGATCCTGAGGAAAAGAACTGTATGAGTTAGTTTTTTGCAGCAGCTGCTTTTAGTAGTCCCCATGAGGAAAAGGCAATCTTGGATTTGGTGATGTGTAATGAGGCAGATTGATTACAGAACCTAAGGTGAATGCACCCCATTATATGATAGAATTCACCCTGCAGTTTGACATCAAGAAGCTGAAGTCAGATGAAATGGATTACAATCGAGTAAAAGTAACCATAAAGACATGAGGGAGGATCTGGCTAGGGTTGATTGGAAAGAGAACCTTGTAAAGGTAGGAAATTCTGATGGTAATTCAGGGGGCACAGCAGAAATTCATTCCAAGGAAGAAGAAACATACCAAGGGGGAGGGAGACTACCACAACCAAGAAGGGAAGTCAGGGACAGCACAAAAGCAAAAGTATACAATGTGGTAAGATTAGACAGAAGCCAGAGGATTAAGAAGCCTTTAAAAACCAGTGGGTGATAGCTAAGGAGATTGTAGAGACATTGGTGGTGATCTTTCAGCAATCACTGGAATCAGGGGGGATGTCAGAACTTCGAGAGAGTCGGGGGTAAAGATGAGTGTATTGGCTATCATTAAGGAGAAGATGCTGGGGAAGCCGAAACGTCTGATGGACTACACCTCAGAGTTCAGAAGATGATGACTGGGGAGATTGTGGAGGTATTAGTGATGATCTTTCATGAATTACTTAAGTTAGGGAGGGTCCTAGAGGACTGGAAAATGGTTAATATAAACACCCTGTTTACGAAGGGGAGCAGGCAAAAGACAGGAATCTATAGACCAGTCCACCTGACATCAGTCATTGGTAAGATTTTAGAGTTCATTATTACGAATGAGATTGCAGGGTACTTGGAAGTGCACGGTAAAACAGGGTGGAGTTAGCACAGTTTCATCAAGGGGAGGCTATGCCTAACAAATCTGTAGAATTCTTTGAGAAGGTAATGAGCAGGCTATGCAAAGGAGACCAACTGGATGTGATCTATTTGGGTTTTTAAAAGGCCTTTGACAAGATGCTACACAGGAGGCTGCGAAACAAGATTAAAGCCCACAGTGTCAGGGGCAAGGCACTGGTATGTATAGAGGATTGACTAATTGGCAGAAGGTAGAAAGTCTTTCTCAGTATGGTAGCCAGTGACTAGTGAAGTTCCACAAGTGTCAATGTTGGAACCATTCTATTATTATACTATACTATACCATACTATTCATGGTATACATTAACAATTTGGATGAAGGAAATGAGGGCATAGTGTCATCTGCAAACTTAGCAACAACGAAAGTTTGGAGGGACAAGTAGTGTTAAGGAAGCAGGGAGGCTGCTGAAGGACTTGGACAGGCTAGGGGAATGAGCAAAGAAGTGGCAGATGGAATACAATGTGCGAAAAGTGTGAGGTTATGCACTTTGGTAGGATGAATAGAGGCAGAGACTATTTTCTACTTGGGGAAAAGCTTTGTAATCTGAAGCACAAAAGGACCGAAGAGAATCCTGAACTAAAACTCCTAAGATTAACAGTTTCAGCTGGCTATTGGGAAGTCAAATGCAGTGCTAGCATTCATTTTAAGAGGGATGGAGGACAAGAGCAGAGGTCTACTGCTGGGGCTGTATAAGGCTCTGATCAGACCACATTTGAAATATTGTGGGCCCCTTATCTAAGGAAGGAATCCACAGGTGGCTTACAAGAATGATCCGGGGATGAAGGGCTCACTATACGAGGAGCGATTGAAGACTTGTTTTAACTTGGAGTTTAGAAGGATGAGAGAGGATCTGATTGAAGTTTACAGAATACTGAGACGCCTGGGTAGAGTGGATGTGGAGAAGACGTTTTCACAAGTAGGAAAACTAGGAGCCGAGGTCACAGCCTCAGAATGAAGGTACAACCCTTTAGAACTGAGATGAAGTGGATTCACCAGCCAGAGGATACTGAATCTGTGGAACTCATTGCAGCAGAAGTTGGTGGAGGCTAAGCCATTGAGCATATTTAAGAAAACGATAGAATAGGTTCTTGGTTAGCGAAAGGATAAAGGGTTATTGACAAAAGGCAGAAAAATGTCACTGAGAGACACAGCAGACATGAAAGAATGGTGGAGCAGATGCAGTGGATCAAGTGGCCTAATTCTGCTCCAAATTTACAGTCTTATGCTTGCACTGAATGCCCAAAGCCAATTTATCTTAGGTTTGAATATACTCAGATCTGATTCAATGTGCACAATGAGTAATACATTTCTCCTTATCTTAGTCCTAAAAGGCAGATTCTTTCCCCTGAGACTATGACCCCCAGCTTTTGGATTCTCTAGCCAGGGGAACCAACAAAACTCAAGTCCAGCAAATACAGATTTTCTAACAGCTCACTGTACACTTCATTTGTTGGGTTAAAAAAGGTGACAATTTTCAAACATCAGATGTAAAACACTTTGTAGGACCCTCCCTCGACTTCAACACCTCACATCAGCATGGAAGATTACTTTACCGTAGGCAGCACTGAGGGTGACCAGTGTGGAATTAAACAAGTGGTGCTGAAGGGTTGCTACTCGAATTGAGTTTACAATCTTAACAACAACTTTCATGAGGAAAGTCCGTAACTTTATTCACTAATGTTTGTTTGTGGATTTGTACAGTGATAATTAACAAAAGAGGGAAAATCAGGATCACTTCTGCAAAATGCAACAAAGCCCACATCTGTGCCAAGCAAGGCTGGTGCACAATTATGTGCAATGGAAACAAGTTTCTTGATTAAAATGCTTTTCTCAAGCACATGCTGAAAAGTCACTGGCACCGGTCACCCTGAAGATAGGCCTCAGGACCCACACCTCTAACATCCAGAATGTCACAGGTTGCTTTCAAGTATGGGGGCGCAGGAGGTCAGGGGCTCCAGTCAGCTTGCATATTTCATGTGAGGCACGGCATCGTTCCCCATCATTTTCTTCACCTGCATGGACCTATTACATAACAGTTGAGGAAGGAAAACTGCAGACAGACAGAGAACAGCCAAGAGGAGTGGGCTTAGCTGAGCTGCTCCTGCAGAGACCATATGGACATGACTGGTTGAACAGGCTTGTATATTTCTAAAACTGGCTCCACATCAATGCTAATACATTTCCTATTTATTTGTTTGCATTGCCACCACCAAACTTACTTTATCCTGCAATGATAGTCGATCTGGACCAAATGGAAACAAGCTGCATCAAGCTGGCAGAGCTTATTAACAGCATGCACTTTTCTCTAGCCATGTGGCATCCAGAAGTGGAATACATGCAGTGACATGATGATCAACATGCACATGGCAAGGGAATGTGAGTGGATGGTGAGATCAACTGTCAGAGTGGCGCACAGCAAGGGAACACAGGCAGGCATTGAGATCAACTGTCTGACACCATGCTTACCAATTTAAATACTTATGAAATTTTTAATACTAAAATGTTAAACATTAATATTAAACTAGAAATTAACCTTTCCATTCAAAAACGTTTGTTTTACCGTACCTTGCAGTGTTTCAACGCCTCTTTAAATTCCTTATTTCTTATAGCTTCCCTTGCATTTTTCAAGGTGGCCTTCACTTCTTTATTGGACATTTTCCTTTAAAATAGGAGATAAGAATTATAAAACCTTTGATATATTATGCTGTAACAGGAAATACAGTTCAATTTTGGAGGCAAACTTTAATGACCCGGTTATTTGGAGATCGTGCGCAAGTAACTTATAGTGAGGGGCGTTACAAACTGAAATGTCAAATTGGGAAGGATTCTAAACTCAATATATCAGTGCAATACTGAAAGGGCATTGATTGCTTTCATGTCTCAGTATATCAAGGCAACAAAAGAGGTAGCTCTTCTCTCAAGATATGTAAGTTGACAAGTCACTGTTCAAAGAATAGAAGCAGGTAGGAAATAACACCTATTAAAAAATAACTTTAAATCTCACTTGGGAACAGCACAAAACCAAACCCTAACAACCAATTTGAAATGGACAAACCTCATGTTTATATACTCTGGGATTTAAAAAGACATCCTTAAAATAAATGGATATTTATTCTACAACAGCAAATACATATCCAACTACAAAAAATGTAAACTAAGAATAAGGTGATCGATGTGAATCAACTCCCAATTCTTAGAATCATAGAATGGTTACAACACAACAGGTTGTCATACAACCCATCAAACACATGCTGGTTCTCTGCAAGAGCACAGCCATTTGTCCTCTTCGTCTTCAGTTTATGTCTTTGCAGAAGATTTTCCCTTCAGGAGCTTACGCAACTTCCTTTGAAAACAAGATTAAATCTTCCTCCACAACCCTTAAGGCAACACAATTTGGATCATAACCATTTTGTGAAAAAGAAGGTTGCCTTTATTAATCACCTTAAATCTGTGTAGTCTGGTTCTTGGGGTACACTGGTTAAGGTGTGAAAGATCTGTGATACAATTGGGATTTGATGTTCAATTAAGTCTTTGTGATTCTGTCTTAAACGAACAAGAAACAGAATTATGCCACTCAGCCCCTCCAGCTTGTTCTGCCATTTAATGAGATCATAGCTTACCTGAAACAGGAAGACTTACACACACAGAGACAAACCTGGCCGTAAGACTCACTCACCTACTTCAGCAATCGCAAATCTAACAATGCTTAAATAAAAAAAAAAACTGTATAAAAATAGCCTGATAAATTTCAGCAAGACTGCTTTGGAAAAAGGAAAGTTTGGCCAACTAACCTTAGGTTTTGTTGAAACATCCCAAATTTACACCATATAAAAACTATATAATTGTAATTCAAGTTCTAAGGCCTTTAAAGTTCCATGACAGATTCATTTACAAACAATGTTAATGGTACTGGAAAATAAATTAGACTTCATTTCCACTTACTTTAGTCACCTATGCCTTGTTAGAGCCTTCAATGGTACAGAAAAAAGTCTTTTTTTTAACGTAAGTATATATTTTTTCATAAAATACTAAAAGGAAATTCTAAAATGTTTCAAACAGGACAGTATGGAAATTAAAATACATTATTATGTTGAGCAAGTTGCAGTTTCTGATGCCTCAATTGAATTTCCATGCAAGTGACATTTCCTTTATGCATACAGTGCAAGCCCATCGTGGTTCCATAAGTTACTTGTGCCTCAGTGTACAATAGCTGAAAAACCATAGACAGTGCTCCACTGCACCTTTGCAGCAGCTGCCCCAAGCCTCCACGCATCCCTCAACTGGCAGCCCTGTCATCTTTACAGATCAGTTAAAGTACCTATCATACTTCATACTACATATATTCTACCAAGGACTTATGCCACCAAATCATATAATCATAACACAGATTCAGCCCATCATGTCTGTGGAAGCTTTTTGAAAGAGCTGTCAAATTAATCCCAACTTGAATGCATATCCTTGCATTTCAAGGTGCTCTTCTGGCACAGTGACAGCCTGAACCAAGAAGCCTGGGCTCAAATCCCATCTGTTCCAAAGGTCTGTAATAATGTCTCTGAACAGGGTGATTAGGAAAATACGAAACAAACCAAATTGCTGGTGAAGCTCAGCAGGTCTAGCAGCATATGTGGGAAAAAAGCAGAGTTAATGCTTCAAGTCTGGTGAATTTGAAGTATCTGGGCTGGAAACATTAACACTGTTTCTTCACAGATGCTTCTGATCTGCTTACTTTCAACAGTAATTTCTATTTTGGTTTTAGATCACCAGCATCCACAGTTCTTTGTTTGATTAGAAAATATCTAAACCTGCACTTTTTTTCCTCTACTAGCACTGACTCAGTTCCCTTTTGAAAATCAGCACTAAATTTGTTTGCATCACCCTTTCAGGTAGTGCATACCTGGTCGTCATAACTCAGTGCATAAAGAAATATCATCATTCCTACCTGTCACTCTGCCAATTAGTTTCACTTTGTGCCCGCTGATTACTAATCTTCCAAACAGAGGAAAATTTCTCTCCTTTTACTCCATCAACACCACCATAACACTGAACACCTAATTTTTAAATTCAACTTTCTTTAGTTGAGAAGAACGATCCCAACTCCTCCAAAAGCTGAAACAATAAACGGCCACAGTTCCAAACTGTTAGTGGCCCCACTCACTGACAGCTAGACTTCAACAACAGCCAACGTAATTATTGACTGTAAACGGATATCTACCGAAACCGGTTCCTGAAGATAAACCACATAAATCTGAGACATTTACCGATCGGCTGCGTCCAAGACCTTCTCAGTCTGGGTCCAGTGATTTCAAGCACAGGTCAATCCCAGCATCCACTGCGGCACCCGACCTATCGGAAAGGAGTCAAATTAAACCCCATCTAGTCAAATCTTTTAATATAAACATACGATATTATGCCATTGATCGTAATCGTATTCCGAATATTTTCTTCTCTTTTTATTATTTTTTAAAGCTATAATTGTTGTCGGAGGATCACGTGGTCAGGAGTGCAACTTGCCGCAGGGAGGGATGGGAGTTGTAGTTTGACACGAGGGATCTGCTTCCTTTTCCCTTTGCGGATTTGTGTCTGCTATGGAACGTTCACTCGGTTTAAACCGTTCCGTTGTAACCACCGCGATTTGGGTCTTGATTATGTTCACATTTCACAGAGCGGACAGCAGCTGGAGTGACTCCGGGATTGACAGACGGGAGCAGCAAGCGGCGGCTAACATGGTGTTAGTCACTTGTGACTCATTGGTAAGGGGAAGTTTTGACTGGAATCGGGGGTGAATAGTGGAGGACAGTGAGTTCATACTTGTGACCTACTGCTACTGTAGATTAAATGAAAGGCGCAGATTTGAGGTTTGTTTATCAGTTTATTTCCTGTGAATAATCTCAGTGTTCAGGAGTGTGAACACATTTTAAGTATTGGATTAGAATCCCTACCGTGCAGAAAGAAGCTATTCGACGCATTGAGTGTGCACCAACCCTCTGAAGAGCATCCCCCCCTTATCCCCATAATTCCACATTTATCATGGCTAATCCCGCTAGGCTACACATCCCAAATCACTATGGAGCAATTTAGCTTGGCCAATCCACCTAACTGCACATCTTTGGATTGTGAAAGGAAACGGTGCAGCGGGAGGAAACCCATGCAGACTCCACATAGACATAGTGATAATGGGATTATTTATATTTATAACGAGAGACGGAGAGGGGGCGGACGTGCTTTACCCTTAATCCATCAGTGAATTATTCATTTTTTTTATTATAACTTAAATCTTTGGAGCCAGGTGTTTTATTTTATTTATCCCAGAGACTATGGAAAAGAATAATGGGCTATATAATAAGGGATCTATACTGTGAAAAGTACTGACAGTCAACAAACAACCTACTAGTTACATCTCTCTCAATTTTGAAAGAGGTGAGTAATGAGGCTGAATCAATTTCACCCATTTTAACAATTGCTAAAGTCAAAATTGCTTTTCAGTATTTTCTTCAACTTCCAAGCAGATTATTCAGAGAAAATGGCAGTATCATTTCCTGTATTGAAGTGCAAGTAAGGTTGGGTTTACAGAAGGGAAATCCTAGCTAATCAACTTCCTTGACAAAGTGACCACTTGAGTGCTCTCTTTCTTTATCAAATAACAGGATATAGATGCTGCTGGCAATGTTTAAACATTTGCAGCAATTTTCTTTCAGAAGTGCTGAGTGGATGATCCATGTTGGCTTGTCCTGAGGTTCCCAGCATCAGAGATGCCTGTCTTCAAACAATTTGATTACTTCCGTGCGATATCAAGAAACAGCTGAAGATACTGGATAATGCAAAGACTAGGGGCCTTATGCCATTCCAGCATCAGTACCAAAGTGTCGTTGTTGGAGGCTAATTACTTCAGCCTTAGGACGTTAGTGTAAGGATTCATCAAGATACTGTGCTAGGTTCAAAACATCTTCACCCACTTTGTCCACGACCCTCCAATATTGAAAGTGGTTATGCTTGATGATTGAATGCTTAATTGCTACTCCTTCAAAATGGAACCATTCTTCCCAAATGCAGCTGAACTTGACAACATTCAGAAATGGGCTAAGTGGAAAATGTCATTTGTGCCACAGGTACCAGGTAATGATCATAACTAACAAGAGAAAATCTAGATATGCAAATATATTAAAATAAGGTCCCTATCAATTAAGTTGTTTGCCTGATTGCGGTGATGGATAGGGGTCAATCATTACACAACCTCTACACAAGTGCACATTTGCAGCAGTTTAGTGGCTTTTGTCTGAGTCCGCCTGTTCAGAGTTGAACCCAGGTCTCCTGGCTCAAAGGTAGGGATACTACCACTGTACCACAAGAGGGCTGTTTGTTTCTTTTATTGAGGCCAAACATGCACACAATCTTCCAGGTGCAGTTTAACCAACCTCCTATACAATTGAAGCAATACTTCACTACTCCTGTCCTGAAGTCCTCTTGCAATTAGAGCTAACACTCTGTTAGTTTTCCTAATAGCTTGCTGCAGCTGCATATTAGCCTTCAGTGATTTATCAATGAGGGCGCCTAATTCCCTTTGTGCATCTTCACTTTCCTACCTGTTACCTTTTAAGAAATGCTCTGTATATCTGTTTCTCCCTCACATTTTGCCACATTTATGTTCCATCCGCTATGTTCTTGCCTATTCCCTAAACTTGTCCAAATCCTCCTGAAGTCTCCTTACAACTTAATCAAACACATATTCAACTTACACAAACAGAAATTGCTGAAAAAGCTCAGCAGGTCTGGCAGCATCTGTGGAGAGAAATTGGAGTTAACGTTTCCTCAGAACTTCCTCCTTAAATAGTGGGGTGTCATTTACTACTTTCCAATCTGTAGAAATCATCCAGAATCTATAGAATTTTGGAAGGTAATCACCAATGCATTGACTACCTCTAAATTGCCTCTTTCAACACTCTAGCATGTAGATTATCAGGTCCAGGGGACTGGTCAATTTTCAACCATAATTTCCCCACCAGAATCTTCTTACTGATGCTGATTTCCTTCAACTCCTCATTCTACCACCACTGTTTGGTGGCTCATAAATAACTCCAAGCAATGTCAGCTACCCTTTGCGATTTCTTAGTTCCACTTGCTATTACCAATGTTACATCTTTCCATTTCAAGTTATGCCTCAATTTTCCAACTCCTGACAAGCTAATTTAAACCCATTTCAACAGCGCTAGCAAATCTCTCTGTTAGGGATATCAGTTCCATTCCGTTAAGTATTACCTGTCCAACTTGTACAGGTTCCAACTGCTCAGAAATGATCCCAGAATTATGAGGCTGATCTGTAGTTTTCAAAGTTGGAATTGCCTCTAATTTAGAGTCTTAGAGACTTCTGGGCTAGAAAGGAAGCACTTTAGAATTGTTCTTTGTTGCAATATGTATGAATGGAATGGAAAACTGTGAATCCACAATTCTAATTTATATTACATTGCAAGATACAGGGACACAGATTCAAACTAGTAGAACGTGGAATATTTGAGTTATATGTTAAATGAAGTCCCAGCTATTACCCGAACAGGCTATAAAGGACCTGTTGTATCATTTGGAGAATATGTAGTGCACCTCATGTCCTGACCAATATTCTTCACTCTGCCATCATTAACAAACATAAATTAACTGGCTGTTTATTTGATCATCATTAGAAAAATAATGCACTTAAGCCTTAAAAATTGGGTGTTATTGCAAGATTTAATTCTCAAAACAGATAATATTTTTGAATCCCATTCAAAATTTTCTTGTAAGAAGACTAGAAATTTTATAAAAATTCTACCAACCTGATGCATTTATCTTTTTCTTCTAGGATGGAAGATTGACATTCGGCCCACAGAACCAGACAATTAAACTTCCCAGCATAAATTTCATGAAAGACAGTGGTGCTGTTTTTCTCAATGCCTACAGCAACTCTCCAATCTGTTGTCCTTCTCGAGCAGGTATATTTCTTAAAAATGAAAGTTTTAGAAGAATTTCCTGTCTAATCTGAACTTAATGCAGCATTGCAAACTAAAGGCAGAATCTTGCAGTCTTGCCTAAGCTTTTAGAATAGTGGCTAGGTGGGGGATATGAACTGGGGAAAGCAAAAAGCCAGTTTCCCAACGTTGAGTTAAAGTTTGGAATTAAGTTCTCAGAACCTTTTATGCAGGTCAGCCTTCACAACCTTGATAGTCAGGAACCTTTATTTCATTCATTAGCATGGCATGAATATTCAGTGAACCCCAGCCCGCTAGAGTAATATTCAGGGTGTAATCTGTTTAGGCAAAAATGTGTGTTCATAAACCCAATAGTGTAAATGAGGAGTGTACCTGGTCGAGTAGACTTTTTGTTTTCTAAGCTAGGGAGAGTACAGATTTCTTCAAGAGACATAGTAAGAACTGCCGATGCTGGAGTCAGAGATAACACAGTGTGGAGCTGGAGGAACGCAGCAGGCCAGGCACCATTAGAGGAGCAGGAAAGTTGATGTTTCGGGTCGTGACCCTTCTTCAGAAATGGGGGAGGGGGAAAGGAGCTCAGAAATTAGGTGTGCTCATATTTAGGCCATTGGGCTGTAGGCTCCCTAGGCAGAATATGAGGTGCTGCTCCTCCAGTTTCCGGGTGGCATCATTGTGGCACTGGAGGAGGCCCAGGATGGACATGTCACCCAGAGAGTGGGAGGGGGAGTTGAAATGGTTCGCGACCAGAAGGTGTTGGCGTTTGTCGCGAACAGAGCACAGGTGCTCTACAAAGCGGCCTCTGAGCCTCAGCTTGGTCTCACTGATGTAGAGGAGGCCACATTGAGAGCAGCGGATGCAATAGGTCAAGTTGACAGATGTGCAGGTGAACCTCTGTCTGATGTGAAAGGTTTGTTTGGTGCCTTGAGTGGAGGTGAGTGGGGAGGTGTAGGGGCAGGTGTGTAGCGCTTCCTGCGGTTGCAGGGAAAGGTGTTGGGGGTGGTGGGGCTAGTGGGGAGTGTGGAGCGGACAAGGGAGTCGCGGAGAGAGCGGTGTCTATGAAAGGCAGATGGGGTGAGGAGGGAAATATCACTTTGCCGGTGGGGTCGGATTGTAGGTGGCGGAAGTGGCGGAGAATGATACATTGGATATGGAGGTTAGTGGGGTGATATGTGAGGACATATCTCTCTTACCCCTCCCCCCAACAAAAACAAAGACAGAATTCCCCTTGTCCTCACATATCACCCCACTAACCTGTTGGAGGAGCAGCACCTCATATTCCGCCTTGAGAGACTACAGCCCAATGGGCTAAATGTGGACTTTACCAGTTTCAAAATCTCCCCACCCCTAGTATCATTCCCATGATCAGCCCTCCCT